ACATCCCTGGGCTGGTCCATTGTGTTTAAAGACTTGATGAGGACAAGCTGTGAAGGATTAAATGGATGGTTTGCATGGATTAAAACGCTGGTGGCTTGCGGGGGCGCCCCGCAGCCTCTGCTCGAGCTGTTTTCCTCTTCGCCCCCAGCCCAACCAGGCCCGCTCAGGTCTCCCCCAAGCCCAGAAATAAAGCTCCGCGGCTCCGCGTCCCACTGCCCCACCTACCGTCCGCCGCGTCCCACCTGTCTCCCGGCTTCGCTCCCTCCCTTGCGCTCACTCCCAGCCCACGCACTGCGCCTGGCCGCGAGGCCTCTGGGTCCCCGGGCGGCCGCGCAGCCCCTCCTGCCGGGACCTTCCTGTGGCCGGGCCCTCTGACTCCCAGCCCTGAGCCCAGGGCCTTCACCGTCGCCTTCCTCCTCCGGCCTGCGACCTGCGCGGCTGGGCACGTGCGCTCCCCGCGGCCTGGAACCTACCGCTCATCTTCCTCCCTCTCGGCCCCTCCTGGGCCCCCAGCCCGCCCGTCCGCGCCCCCAAGGGCCGTGCCCCCAGCACACCGGGGAGCGTCGATGGGGCGGAGGGGACAGGCGGCCGCCAGGCGACAGCTGGGAGAGCGCGCCTTGACCTTCTGACGCGATCGATGGGGCCCGGGCAGCGTGGAGCCAGGGCGGTAGCCCCTCCAGCGCCCCCATCCCGCGCCCGGTCCCGGGGGCTATAAAGGGGCCGCGCGGCGCTCGGGACACGGCCGCGAGCGCTCCGCACATCCCAGGCGCCAGCCATGGCCTCGTCGCCCCCCGCCGCGCTCCTGCTCCTGCCGCTGCTGCTGCTGCTCCCGGGCTCCACCGCGCCCCCCGCGCCCCCCAGGTAAGGCGGGCCCGCGCCGCCGTCCCTGCCCGCCTGCAGCGGCCGGGCCCTAGGGAGCCGCTGGCGGCCCTGACCCGGCCCCGCGTCCCCCAGGGCCCTGCGACACTCGGACGGCACGTTCACCAGCGAGCTGAGCCGCCTGCGAGAGAGCGCGAGGCTGCAGCGGCTGCTTCAGGGCCTGGTGGGAAAGCGCAGGTGGGCGCCGGGCCGGGAGAGGGCGCTGCAGAGCAGGGGAGGGGGCGTGCTGGGCACCCCAAAGCTGCGGGAGGGAAGGGACCCCAAACGCGACAAGCCCCGGCTCACCCTTGCCCCACACCAGCAGCATTCGAGGCCTCTGACTCCAGGACTAATTTTTATTGGGGTTGGGGGGGGTCAGCGAGCAGCACGCAGAGAACAGCAGGACCAGGCCCCGGACGGTGGAAGGCCGCTTCTGCCTGCTGTGGTCCCAGGCGCCAGCCCTGCGGGACTGGTGAGCTGAGCAGCCCCAGCCTCGAGCTCTGAGCACCCCCTCCATTCAGGAACCGGACTTGGCAGTGGGGGGGGGTGACGCTGACACCCCAGTTTCACCCTCCAGCTCATCAGGCTCCTCTCTGCAGGACACCCCTGAGGACACCCCTGAATCCGGCCTCGTCTGGGGCAGGGCTGCCTCCCCCGCCCAGGTCTGGGGTCAGGATTTTGCAGCCAGACACCTTGGCACCTGAAGTGTCCCGGCTGCCCAGATGACGCAGGCGGAGAAAGGCACTTTCTGGACCTGGAGCCAGAGCCTGACCAAGGCGGGAGGGAGGGGTCGGACTTCCCTTCAATAAAGGAGGACTTCAGACCCTGGCCCCTTGAGCTCACAGTTCGTGTCATCTTGGACCATCGGGGCAGAACCTGCACGGGGAGAGGGGGGTGTCTTTATCTGGGGGAAGGAGGAGGTGAGGTGCAGGAATGTGACCACGCCTCCCTGCATTTATACTTGGGACCACAGATGCTGGCCCTGCCCCTTTATCTTGGCATTGGCGCCCCCTTGTGTCCACCTCTGGGAGGGGCGGAGCGCCTCCGCTGCACCCAGACCAGCTAACATTCCCTTGGGCCGTGGCCAGTGTAGACGCAGCAACAGGTCTGGGCCTGGAGGGGGCCAGGAGGCCCAGGCCAGCAGGAAGGGGTGACCGAGGGAGGGTGCCACGCAGGAGGACCGGAGACCCAGCGTCGGAGGACTTGACTGGGCATCTTAACTCCAGTGTGGCCCTCGGCCAGCAAAGGCCCCCACTGAGCCTGGGGAGTGGCTCAGGTTACTCCTCCAGGTAACAGGGTCAGGGATGACAGCGCAGCCCTGACAGGCACAGCAGAGAGAGGAGTCCCTGCCCCTCCAGCCCCTCCAGGAGCCCTTCCCAGCTGCCCACCTTGGCCAAGAGTTCCTCGACTGGGGGGCGGCTTATGAGGCCATGAGAGATAGGTGTGGGGCTCATGAGGCCAGGTGACAGTGACCCTCCCACAGTGATGGGGTGGGAAATACCACAGTGGGGGCTTTAACAAACAGAAATTGATTCTCTTGTAGTTTAACTCAGAAACTCACTGCCCTTGAGCCAATCTGACTCATAGTGACCCCTCCTTGGGTTTCCGAGGCGGTATCTGTATGGAGGTAGATTGCCCAACCTTCCTTCTGAGGAGCAGCTGGTGGGTTTGAGCCACCAGCCTTCTGGTTAGCAGTCAGATGCCTAGGCACTAGGCTACCAGAGCTCCTCTCTAGTAGTTTAGGAGGCTAGAAGCGTACATTTAGGGCCCAGCTCTGTGGAAAGGCTTTCTCTTCCCATGGGCCCTGAGGGAAGGTCCCTGTCTTTCCACCTTCTGTTCCTGTGTGATCTGCGTGTGGCTTGGCATCTCTCTGCCTGGTATCTGCTTCCTGGCTTTTATATCTCAAGTTGACTCAAAATACACCCTAACCCTGTCTCATTAACATCTCAAAGACAGCCACTGCCAAATGGGATTCTACCCACCGGCTGAGAGGTTACGATTCACAGCACAGGTTCTGGTGGGGAACTCAATCTGTAACACCCCCCGGCAGGAGCCCATGGGGACCCAGGGTCCACACCAAGCTGTTCCATCTCCATCTCTTGGGTCCTGCCCAGCCCTGCCTGAAAGAAGCTGACCTGTGTCGGGGGGGGGGGGGCAGGCAGGGGAGTGCCAGAGACATGCAAAGTGACTTTTCCTTTCCCTAGAGGGCTGGTGCCAAAGGAAGGACAAGCCGATTGATCAGAGATTGATCAGAGTGCCTGGTCTGAACCTCAAGGCATCGACCCTTAGAAACTTTGCCCAGAGGAAACCTTAGGACATGAGAGTGGGGACAAGCTGGGGGACCGCCTGGGGCAGAGCAGGAGGGGCAAGGAGAGGGAGCATGACAAACCCAGAGACCAAGGGTGGGGTGCAGCCCTGGTCCCGCCCACTGAGTCCCCCTCCAGACCCCAGCCCCTATCCCTGCCCAGTGAGTCCCCCTCCCGGCCCAGGCCCCAGCCCCTGCTCAGTGAGTTCCTGGCCCCAGCCCCAGCCCCTGTCCCTGCTCAGTCACGTCCCAGGCCCACGGTAGCCCCAAGCAGCACTCAGCTTCTGTGGGTGGACATCCCTCGAGCCCCAGCCAGCCCCAGCCCCAGCTCTGGACAGTGCACACCCTCGTCCCCTTCCAGTGGCTTCACCAGCTGCTGGCGGGAGCCTCCCTGGTGGAGGCCCGTAGTGGTAAAGGGTCATAAACTGGGGCGGTGCCCAGCAGGGCGAAGGTTGAAAGGCAGGAACTGAGGAACTGCGCCTGTAAGATTGGCCGCCCAGAGGGTCCTGACGAGCGGAGGCTGTGGCCGCCAGGATGAGGGCAGGAGCCCTGCTGTGGCTGCCGCAGCCACTGCTGCTGCTTCTCCTGGGGTTGCTGGGCCGAGCCCCAGGGGTTCAGGCCCAGGGTAGGCGGGTGGGGGCAGCAGAAGTGGCAGGCTGGGCCTGAGGTACAGGGACAGGGTTTAGAGGCCAGGGACAGAGGTGGGGGGGAGGGCGAAAGGCCGGGCGCTGGGGGTCAGGGCTGCGGCCTCTGAGAGACACCAAGCCTCCCCCCCGACTCTGCAGCCTGCTCTGTGGACAAAACCTTCTTGGAAATTGAGGAGAACAAGACTATCACCGAGCCCCTGGTGACCATCCACGTCCCTGAGGGCCAGCAAGTGACCCTTGGGCCCTCGTCCACACCCTCCACCTTTCAGATCCGGAACAGACAGCTTTTTCTCAACGTGATTCCCGATTTCGAGGTGCAGGCCCAGGAGGGGTGCCCGGGGGGAGGCTGGGCTGTTGGCCCCAGGGACCTGTGTTGGCCCCCACTGCCCTCTGCAGGGAAGTACTGTCCTGAGAGCTCAGGTCCCGGTGCCTTGAGGGCTCTGACGGGCAGGAGCCAGCTGGGCCCCAGACGGGCCCTGGGTCCTGACCCGTGACAGGCCCTGGGTCCTCACTGGTGACGAGCCTCAGCCTCAGTGTCCTGTCTGTATCCGCAGAGCAACCCCTTGCTGCAGGCACACCTGGAGTGCAGACGGGGGGACGTGGTGGTGAGTCCCCCTACTCCCTCCCCTCACCACCCACACCGATGCCCTCACTCTGGCTTCGCTCCGGGCGCTCCTGCTCTGTCCAGCGTCATTCTAGAGGACCTCACCCTGTGGTATATTTTCAATGCCACCATATGCTGATGATGCCCACCCCTACCCCAGCCCCAGGTTCGGATCCAGTCCAGCCACCACCAGCATGGCCCCTCAGTGAACAGAACCTACAAGCCACATGATCGCATGGCCCCCCACCTCTCACTCCACTACCCCCACACCACCCACACCCATCACCCCACACACCCCACCACTCCACGGCACCCCATTACTCTATACCACCCAAATCCCTCATCACCCCACTACCCCACATCACACCATCCCACTACACCATACCCCTCACTACCCCACACCCCACATCACCCACTACCCTACACTCTTTAGCACCCCACACCCCTCACCACCCCACACCCCTCACCACCCTTTCACCACCCATAGAAGCAGTGTGGGGGTGTCCTCATCAGACCTCTAACTTCATGAGGGGGAAGGAGGATCCACAATAACACGGACAGCCCATGGCCCAGTCCCATGAAGTGGAGCTCAGACCTGGCCACCTCCAACCTTTTTAACGATTCTGGCACCAAGCGTCCCTCCCCCAGTACTCTGCTTGTCTGCTGCGTTCAATGACAATTAATTTCAATGGCCAGACAGAGCTCAGACGATACAGTTATGGGGTTCATTAGGGAAATGACAGGCCACAATCCAGGCTCAGGAGCGCTCAGGACACAACGCTGGCATCAGGACAGTCTCCCCTCTGCCGTGCCCTCCAGCTTGGCCCGCTTTGGCCCTCAGCCTCTTGGCCTGGCCCCTGCCCTGCTCGGGGCAAGTGTTAGAAGGCACTGCTCACAGGTGCCCCGCACTCTGCCAACAAGCCTCCAGCCTGCAGTCCTCAGGAAGTGGCTCTGTCTCCTGCCGCCTCCTGATTTTGCTTCTGCTGTCTCCTCCCCCTGCCGTCTCCCCATCGTCTCCCCATCGTCTCCCCCTGCCGTCTCCCCATCGTCTCTCCCTGCTGGCTCCCCCTGCTGTCTCTCCCTGCCGTCTCTCTCTCTCTCTCTCTCTGCTGTGTCTCTCTGCTCAGGAGACCCATTGCAGGGATCTCCAGTCCAAGGATACGCTCTATTCCTGGCTCTTCTTTCTTGATGGTAGTGAGCTACCTCCCTCCAGGTAACAGGGTCTGAGAGGGCCCATTAATCCTGGTGAGATGGCAAAACTGGCCAATCCCCATGTTAGGGCTCCATGCAGAGCCATGTTCCTTATTTACATTATTCACAAGCGATCCAGTCCCTATAGTGGCCACAAGCACCTCACATTTGCATATTTCCACCCAGTCATCTGGTGGGGTCACAAAGTCCACGACCAGGAGAGCCAGACCAGGCCATTCACTGCACCTCGCCTCCCGTACCCCTCACCACCCACAGCTCTCGCCACCCACTTCTCACCACCCGTACCCCTCACCACACACAGCTCTCGCCACCCACTTCTCACCACCCGTACCCCTCACCACCCACCTCTTACCACCCTCACCTCTCACCACCCACACCCCTCGCCATCCACCCCTCACTACCCCACACCCCTCACCACCCATCTCACCACCCACATCCCTCAACACCCACATCTCACCACCCTACATCCCTCACCCCCCACACACACCCTTTACCACCCACACCTCACCCCCCTAAACATCCTAGCACTCTGACCCTGGTGTATTTTTTTTACCCATTTATTAAAGAAAATACCAAACACAAAACATAGAGCCCCCCTGCCCCCCCCCGCCCCCAAGCCCCTCCTTTCCACCCTACATGGAATGGTTTCCACTACGAATAGTTTTGTCTGTCTCCAAGAGACAAGGACCCTGCATTCAGACATGACCAGGACACCATCATCACCTCTGAGGAAAGCAGTGTTCGACATCCCTGCAGCCCAGGAAGGCTGTCTCCCAGTAGCCTCGCACGGCTCTTTCCACAGGCTGTGCGTGGGTCTGGGACAAGGAAGGTCCCTGTGGTGCTGCTGGTGGCCATCTCTGAGTCTCTCCTCATAGGCGGCGGCCCTTCTTGTTCCTCTGGGGTCCACCCTCCGCTGTGAAGCCCTTTCCCGTCTGTGAGGCCCTGCACAAAGCTAGAACGGGGCCCTCGGAGGCAGGCAGGCACGGGGAGGTGCCCGATGACCCTCCTTGCCACCCCCAGGTGACCCAGCTGAGAGTGTTCGTGTCTGTGCTGGACATCAATGACAATGCCCCCACCTTCCTGTTTACCACCAAGGTCACAAACGTGAGCGAGGTGCGTTTGAGGGGAACTAGGGCTGGGAGCCTGGCTGGGGCTGGGGCTGGGGCTGGACCATGGGGCTTGGTCCAGGGGGCATGCATGTGGCAGGAACAGGCCCCACTTCGTCCCCCAGGACACCCGGGTGAGCTCCATCGTTATCCCAGAGACAGAGCTGGAGGCCCAGGACCAAGACAAAGACGACACCTTGTTCTACACCCTCCAGGAAGTGACCCCAGTCCGTGCCCTCTAGCCCCTGCCCACCACTGCCCCTCCCTTCCGCCTCCTCCCAGGGTCTCAGGCTGTGTTCTCCCTTCCCAGGACGCCACTGGCTTCTTCTCCTTGGTGGGCGTGAACCGCCCCGCCCTGAGGCTAGACAAGAGGCTGGACTTTGATAAGTGTCGTAGCCTGACCTACCAGCTGCTGGCGCGGGTGAGCAGTCCCAGACTCTCAAGTCCCCACCGGCGCGGCCCCTCCCCGGCCCCAGGCCTGACCGGGGCGGCTATTACAGGACACGGAGGAAGAGGGCATACAGCCCAGCCACACGGCCACGGCCACGCTGACACTGAGCGTCCTGCCGGCTGACCTGCGTCCCCCCTGGTTCCTGCCCTGTGACTACTCAGATAATTATGTCTGCATCCAAGCCCAGTACCACGGAGCTGTCCCCACAGGACACAAACTGGTAACATGCAGGAGCCCCTCAAGGGGGCATGGCTGGGCACTCTTCTCGGCAAGCTCTGGTCTGCCAGGGAGGGCCAGGGCTCAAGGAAGGCCTGCACGGGCCCAGGGGACGGGGCCTGGCTCTGCCAGCCTGTGCGCTGGGGCCGCCCTGCGTGTAACTGTCAAACAGGCGCCAACCTTCCCCCAGGAACCGATCTAGCCCCAGCACATGGTGGGTGGCAGTAGACAAAGCCCCTCTGCAATCCCACTCGGAGTGAAATGCATGTTCCCCGTTGTCCAGGGAGGGCACTGAGGCTTTGGGGGACCTGGAGGGGCCATATTGGTTTTCTTGTGGGGATACCTCAGAGCCCCCGTGCAGGCCCTGAGGCACCCAGAGGCACATGTGGGCAAGTGGGGGCCCTGCGAGACTGGCCAGGAGAAGTGGGAAAGAGACCCCATCATGAATATCCCCACCTTGTAAACACGTAAGCACAGGCTGATCCTAACGGCCTTGGGCACACGGACCCTTCAAGGAACGAAACAAACAAAACCCCCACACCTACTGCCACTGAGATTCCAGCTCAGAGACCCCCACTGGGTTCCTGAGGCTATCAATCTTCATGGAAGTAGATTGTCCCATATTCCTTCTGCAGAGCAGCTAGCGGGTTTGAACCACTGACCTTCTGGTTAGTAGCTAAATGCTTTATGCACTATGCCACCAGAGCTCTCTTCAAAGAGCAAAGGGACTCGAAAGATCAGCACGCAGAGTTGGCGGGGGCCATCCAGAGCAGGTTGCGTGCACAGCTCCCTACCAGCAGCCCTGTAGGTCCCACCCCAGGCGGTCCCGGTCACTCTGTCTTAGAGCTCCTTAAGGGGTAGTGGGAGGGCCGTGCCAGGCCCATGCCACCCCTCCCACTCGTGCCCACAGACAGACCCTCTCACCCTGCGTCCGGGGCCCATCTACGCTGTGGACGGGGACCGAGGCCTCAACCAGCCCATCGCCTACAGCATCCTGGACGGTGAGTTCCTGGCCCCACCCCCACTCCTCTCTCCATGAGGCATTCCAACCCCATTTTGGACCGCTGTGGGCAGAGGGGTCCCAGGAGCCCCTGGACCTCAGGCAGAGGCATGAAGGCTGAGCGCCTGCCCCCCGCCACCCCAGGAAACCAGGGTGGTGTATTCTTCATCAACAAGTCCTCAGGCAACCTCACCCTGACCACGGGCATCCTCAGCCCCATGACCTTCCGGCTGCTGGTCAAGGTGGGTGCCAGCACAGGGCTTGCATGTGGGGAGCTGGCCAGGTCTCCGCAGCCCTTCTCAGCAGGAGCCAAGGCTCACTGCTCAGCGCTGTCTTCGCACCCCCAGGGCGAACAGGCGGACTTAGCAAAGTACTCGGTGACCCAGGTCTCGGTGGAAGCCCGTGAAACCCATGGGAGCCTGCCACACTTCCCCCAGAGCCTGTACCATGGCACTGTGGCCCTCGGCTTGGGTGCTGGTGCACCTGTCAAGGACACAGCCAACCCCTCTCAGCCTCTGAGGGTCCAGGCTCAGGACCCAGATTTCCCGGTACGCAGCATCCTGGGGGTGCCCAGCCCCGGCTGGGGGCCCTGCCTGGCCATCCAGGAATCCCTTGCTTGGTCCTGGGTCTGCCGTGTGCATGTGCATGTGTGTACATGTGTGCATGCGTGCACATGTGGGTGTCGGGGCAGCTCCTAGACCAGCACTCCCTTGGTCTCCGTATCCAGGAGTTCAACTCGGCCATCACTTACAGAGTCACCAACCACTCCTCCTTCAGGATGGAGGGGGAGGTTGTGCTGACCACCATCACCCTGCGCCAAATGGAGACCTTTTACATAGAGGTGAGGAGCGGGGGAGGAGGGCTGGGCAGGGGGGATGGGGTAACGAGGGGTGTGAGGACAGAGCAGCTGCCTCCCAACCCAGGTGGAGGCCAAGAACACGGTGACTTCGGCCACGGTGACCACAGTCGTGGCGATCCAAGCCCAGGACCAGGAGCCCACCCCTACAGGTGAGTGGCCAGGTGACGGTCAGTGCAGATCCTGCCGACGGGACAGGCAGCTGGGGACTGAGGCAAGCCCAAACCCTGTCCTCGGTCCCCAGGCCCCCCCAGACCTCCTACCCCCTCAGAGGCCGGAAGAACAACAAGACCTCCGAGCAGTACCACCTCTGAAGGCGCCAGGCCTCCTGGGCCCTCTCAGGGCCCCTCCACGACCAGCCCTGGGGGGGGCCCACACCCTCCCTCAGGTACAACTGGGAGGCCACCTGACTCGTCCACACCCAGGGGGCCCTCCACCGTGGGAACCAGCATCTCTCCCCCACCAGCCACATCAAGCAGTGGGGGTTCAGCACCAACCCCAGAGCTAAGAACCTCTCGGCCAACATTCCCTGGGCCCAGTAGGACCCCTGGGCCTTCTCAGGGCCCCTCCACGACCAGCCCTGGGGGCGGCCCACACCCTCCCTCAGGTACAACTGGGAGGCCACCTGACTCACCCACACCCGGGGTGCCTTCCTCTGCGGGAACCAGCATCTCTCCCCCACCAGCCACATCAAGCAGTGGGGGTTCAGCACCAACCCCAGAGCTAAGAACCTCTCGGCCAACATCCCCCGGGCCCAGTAGGACCCCTGGGCCTTCTCAGGGCCCCTCCACGACCAGCTCTGGGGTGGGCACTGGCCCACACCCTCCCTCAGGTACAACTGGGAGGCCACCTGGCTCACCCACACCCGGGGTGCCTTTCCCTGCGGGAACCAGCACTTCCCCCGCACCAGCTACACTGAGCAGTGGGGGTTCAGCAACGACCCTGGAGCCAGGAACCTCTCGGCTGACGTCCCCCGGGCCCAGCAGCACTCCTGGGTCCTCAGGTAGTCTCCTACTCACCGCATTTGCTCCAAAGTTGCCCTGGAACCACTGTAAGGCAGGCCCACCCCAGGCTGGCCATTGGGGTGCTATGCAGGGTTGGGGAGCTCTGGTCTGCACAGAGGGGCTCCAATATGGACATTGTGTGGAGGGTGGGGCAGAGGCCAGGTTTGGGGTCCGGTAGCCCCATAATTCCCAAGGCAGGCCACTCCCCTGACTCCCAGGACTCCCCAGATGATCCTGTTGTATTTGAACCCCTCCAGCCCACTTGGAGCTGACAGGCAGCAGCGCCCCTGGGCTCCAGGCGGCCTCCCTGTGAACACACAGCACTAAGGGATCAGTAGCATCTGCTTCCAAGGCCTGCAGCCCAGAAGGCCTGCCCCGGAGCCTGGCACAGGCTGGCATGGGAGGTCCTGGGCTGCCCTAACACGAGGTGCCTGTGTCGTTGGCAGGGGTGCCTGGGAGTGGGGGAGGCGGCACTGAGGGAGGAGGTCTCCCAGACGGTGGCCGTGCTGAAGACCGACGCTTCACGGTGGTCGAGATGGGTGTGCTAGGCGGGGTGCTGGGCGCCCTCCTTCTGCTGGCCCTGCTGGCCCTCACTATCCTCCTCTATAAGCAGTATGGCCACAGGTTCAAGTGCAGCTCCCGAGAAGCACTGGTGAGGGGGCCAGGGCAGCAACATGAGATGGGGAGGGGGGAGCTGGGGCAGAGGAGAGAGTTGGAGGAGGGGGAGAACTGGGGGAGGGGGAGAGTTGGGGGAGGGGAGCTGTGACGACACAAACCAGCCAGCGAGCCAGAGGGACATGGAGGACAGGGCCAGGCCAGAGTGGAGGGCCCCTTGTGGAAGCGTTGGGTGACCGGCCTCGGTCGACTGTCGCCCTGCAGGAGCCGCAGCCTGGAGGCTTTGACAACCTGGCCTTCGCAGCTGACAGCGAGGCCAACTGGGAAGCTGCGCCTGACCCCGGCCTCGACCCCGACCCTGACCCTGACCCCGACCTGGCTGAAGCCCTGGCCCCAGCGGCCCTGCCCCGCACGCCCCCCAGCCTCACGCCCACCAGCCCAGAGCCCACCAGCCCCGCGCCCCTGGCTGCAGCCCCTGCTGGGGACAGTCCCGCGGCCATGAGGTCCATCCTAACCAAGGAGCGGCGGCCCGAGGGAGGCTACAAGGCCGTGTGGTTCGGCGAGGACATCGGAGCTGAAGCAGACGTGGTCGTGCTCAACGTGTCCGGCCTGGACGATGCCGGCGACTCGGGCAGCGAGGGCAGCAGCCTGGAGGACGCCCCAGGTCCAGCCGGAGGTCCCCATGATGAGCCAGGCGCCGAGTCCACCTACATCTAGTGCGAGCCTGTCCCCCAGGGCACCGGGCCCGGAGCGCTGGCGTCCTCCGGTCCTGCGTGGAATAAAGTGAACTTTCCAGCCTCCAGGGTCCCTGCTAAGGCGCGTGGGGGGTGGTCCCGGGAAGGGACCTCTGGGGAAGGCCTGGGACATGACAAGAGGAAGGACGGCACCGCCACTTCCTGTCAACCACCTGGCTTGGGTGGGCACCCATGGCCCAGCCACCTGGCCCGTGGAAGTCCCCGTCCTGGGCTCACCCCAGCCGCAGAAGGGAAGTAGCCCGCTCTCGGGTCACAGCAGCCCCAGCTGAATCCCTTCCCTGAGGACACCGCAACCCCTCCAACAGCACCTGCTTCTGGACAGTGGTCTTGGAGACTCTGGTCACAGCCCCCTCCTGACGTCTCAGGGTGGCCACAGAGGAGCAGTCAGGGATGGGACCGTGGCCTGTGGGACTGAGGGTGGTGCGTCGGCGAGGTCACTGCGGGGCGTGGGGTCCGAGGTCCCAGGGTGGGTGCACAGCACTGAGGCTGGGGGGCGGGGATCAGTGCAGGGCGAGGCGGGGACAGAGTTGGTACTTGAGGGCCGCAGCAGGGCGAGACCTCGTGAATCCTCTGTTATCCCTAGTTAAGGGCACCAGCCATTCTCTTGACTCTGGAGTTCTCCAGTGTTCTCGTCCACACAATTTTCCTGACGAGTCCAAGCCCTGGGCTGGCTCGTGCCCTCCGCATTACCCAGGTCATGCCCTAACAGAAGTGTCTGGGGACCGGATGCAGGAGCTCTGATGCTGCAGTGGTTAAGGCATTCGGCTGTTAACCAAAAGGTTGCCAGTTTGAACTCACCAGCTCCTCTGGGGGAGAAAGATGAGGTAGTCCGCTTCTGTGAAGATTGACAGCCTCAGAGACCCCATGGGGCAGTTCCACTTTGGCCTCTAGGGGCACTGTGAGTAGGAATGGAGTGGTGGTTGTTATATGCCCACCAGTCGGACCCGACTTATATGACTCCTCCTTGGGTTTCCCAGGCGGTGTCACTACGAAAGTAGATTGCCCCCCATCTTCCTTCTGAGGAGTGGCTGGTGGGTTTGAACTGCCAGCCTTCTGGTTGGCTGTCAAGTGCCTTACACACTGCGCCACCAAAGCTCCCAGAATCCACTGGAGGACAGTGGATCTGGCTTCGGTTTCAACCCTAACTATAAGGAGCCCTGGTGGTTCGGCGATTACATGCTCTGCTAACCAAAAGATCAGCGGTTGGAACCCACCAGCCGCTCTGGCGGAGAAAGATAAGGCAGTTTGCTTCTGTAAAGATCGACAGCCTTGGAGACCCTGTGGGGCAGTTCCACTCTGCCCTCTAGGGGCGCTGTGAGTGGGAATCGATTCCAGGACAGTGGGTGTGGTTTGGTGTCCCTGTGGGTCCCCCACTTATCCCACTGTCCCCTCTCCGGGCTGCTGCCCAATTGGGCGCTGCCCGGAGTAACAGGTGCAGCTGGACTGTGCTTGGAGCTGCCCCAGCCCTGGGTCTGCTGTCCTCACTGGAGAGTCGGTGCAGGGGCACAGGGGACCCGCAGAGCGCAGGGCACCGGAACCGCCCGCGGTCCGGGCCACTTCCTCCTCGGTCTCGGGCCCCGCCCCGGGCCCGCCCTCCCCGGCCCCGCCCCCACCACTATAAAGGGAGCCTGCTCCGCTCGCATCTAGGAGACAATTTCCCGACCCGGCGGCTCCGGGACCCAGGTACTCCGGACCACTGCCCCTCGCGGAAAAGGAGCGGGGAGCTAGACCCCAGCTAGCTAAAGGGGTGGGGGCGCCGGGGAGAGGAAGGACGGGAGACAGAGGGCCCGGGGGCCGAGGACCCGAGGTGGGACCGGAGGCGAAGACCGCGTGCCGGTGGGGAGGGTCGGGGCCGCGGACCCGAGGTGGGGTGGAGGGGCTAGGACTGAGGGGCGAGTCGGGCCTGAGGACCGGGGCGCGGGCGGGGGCGGAGAGAACGGGACGCCCCGCCTCGAGTCTAGGTTTCGTTTTCCTGTGACCTGGCGGTTTCGCTTTTCCCACTCCTGTCATGTCTCCGCAGGGTCCAGCTTGCGACCGCCGTCCGAGCCTGGGTGCTGGCTGACCACCTGTGACTTCACATGTTACCGCCTGCCACATCTGTAGTCACACCCATAGCCACCTGTGCCGAGTAACCCACCCCTGGGCAAAGTCTGTGGCCACAACCCCCCAGTCCCCATCTGTCACCAGCCCGTGTCTGTGACATCCGAGTCGCACCTGATCAGACCTCTCACTTCAGCCCACCTCTGGCCTGTCCCTAAGGAAGGAGCGATGGCCTTGGCTTCTGATAGGTGAGCGCCTGGCCCGCTCCTGAGTGCCCACCTGGGGGTCTGGCTCCCGGCTCTGACCCGCGTGGCTGTTCCGCCCGCAGGGGGACCCCGCGCGTGCTGTTTGGAGAATGGCTTCTGCGCCAGGTCAGCAGCGGCCGCTACGAGGGACTGCGGTGGCTGGACGCGGCCCGCACGCGCTTTCGCGTGCCCTGGAAGCACTTCGCGCGCAAGGACCTGGACGAGGCAGACGCGCGCATCTTCAAGGTGGGCCCCTGGTCCCCGGAGTGGGGGGCTCCGCCCGGGCGCCCGCGGCTTCCGCCCACCGGGCCGTCGCTCTCTTATTCCTGCAGGCATGGGCCGTGGCCCGTGGCAGGTGGCCGCCCAGCAGCTGCCCGGGCGCCCTGCCACCCGCGGAGGCCCCGGAGCGCGCCGGCTGGAAAACCAACTTCCGCTGCGCCCTGCACAGCACGCGGCTCTTCGTGATGCTACAGGACAACTCTGGGGACCCCGCTGACCCGCACAAGGTGTATGCCCTCAACCCCGCACCAGGACGGGGAGGTGAGAGCGCCCTGAAGGCCAGGGCAGCGCGTAGGAGCTGGGGAGGAAGGGCGGCGGTCTGAGCAAGACCTGGCCTGTGGCGGCCGCACTAGGTGACATCTGTGCTTTTAGAAACTTCCTCCCTCACCCTCCCTAAAGCCACTACTCCGGGTGGAGGGTGGTGCCAAATCCTTGTTGGACATCCCGGAGGGGAGGCTGATGGAGGGCCTTTGGACCAGTGAACAGGAGGGCGTGCTCCTTGCTCCCCAGGAGGGGGCTGCTCAGGGGTTCATACCCAGGTCTCAGGTCACAATACCCCCTCCAAGGCCCCAGCAGGCATGGAACAGAAGAGGCCCCCACAGATGGCTGGCCCATGAGGGTAAGGTACCCCCACCCGCCTCTCTTCCGGGTACTGGGCACCACCTCCTGCCCAGGTTGGCGCTGCTTATGCTGGCCCTGTCTTCCCCGCAGGGTGAGCCAGCTGAGCAGCCCCTGGAAGCCGCTGGTGAGAGGCCCGACCCTGTGCTGGCCTGGGCTGGAGCAGCCAGTCGGAGCCTGGAGCCTGTCACCTTGCGCGGCCTCCCCGCCCCCGCTGATGGCGCCCAGGATCTCTTGCATCATGCTCTGCAGCAGAGCCACCTTGGGGACCATCTTCTGGAAGCATCATGGAGGGTGGCCCCAGCCCCCCAGCAGCCTCCTGGTGAGGAGCAGGAGTCACCACCAGTTGGACCCCAAGGTGGCCCTGAGCACAGGCCTGTTGGAGCGGGGAGTATGTGCTCTGCCCTGCAGGGTCCTGAGGGAGGGTGCTGGGGGCAGGGGCAGGAGACGCAGCTGCAGGCTGAGGGAATTTGGTGATCCGACAGGCTTTCCCCTCTCAGGCCCTGCGCTCGCCTCTGGGGAGCTGCACACACAGTGGGTCGCGAAGGCGGCCCCCAGCGCCCCCCCACAACCCTCAGCCTGGCACCAGGCCCTGATGACAGGTGAGAGGGGCTGGAACAGTGGTGGAGGGAGGGGCTGGGGCACCAGTATCAGCTCGGGCTCCTTGTCTTCAGATGCCTGCCCGCAGGTGGTGCAGGAGGTGGCACCCCACGCCTCACCTGCTCCCCTCCCCTGGGCCCCACTGGCAGGTAAGCAGCCAGGGGTGGGGGGGGCTCCCCTCCCCTGGGCCCCCCTGGCAGGGGAACAGCCAGGCCCCGGCCCCTCCTAGCCGCTCACGGGTCTTGTCCGTGCAGAGCCCAGACAGGAGACCCTGGAGGTGACCATCATGTATAAGGGCCGCCCGGTGCTACAGGAGATAGTTGGGCGCGTCAGCGTGCTCCTGTACGGTGCGCCCTGCCCCACCGCCAAGGCCGCGGGTGCCCAGTTCGTGGCCTTCCCCAGCCCCGCGGAGCTCCCAGACCAGAAGCAGCTGCGCTACACGGAAAAGCTGCTGCAGCACGTGGGCCCCGGGCTGCAGCTGGAGCTACGGGGGCACAGCCTGTGGGCACAGCGCCTGGGCAAGTGCCAGGTGTACTGGGAGGTGGGCGGCCCGCTGGGCTCCGCCAGTCCCTCCGGCCCTGCCCGCCTGCTGCCTCGCAATGCCGACACCCGCATCTTTGACTTCCGAGACTTCTTCAGGGGTGAGCCGTGCGTGGGCCCTGGGCCGCCCCGGAAGCCCTGCCTGGCCGGCAGCTCACTGAGCCCCTGCCCGCAGAGTTGGTGGAATTCCGGGAACGGCGGCGCCGCAGCTCCCCACACTACACCATCTACCTGGGCTTTGGGCAGGACCTGTCCACCGGGAGGCCCAAGGAGAGGAGCCTGATCCTGGTGAAGGTGAGGGCCACCATCTGGGCACCTGTCCCAGGACCACTGACTGCCCTCTCCTCCCCACAGCTGGAGCCCGGAGGTGGGGGGCAGCACCCTGACACCTGCCCCCTGCCTTCTCCCCTACCGCAGCTGGAGCCGTGGCTCTGCAGGGTGTACCACGAGAACGTGCATCGAGAGGGCATCTCCTCCCTGGATAGTGGCAGCCTTGACCTCTGCCTGTCCAGCTCCAACAGCCTGTACGACGACCTTGACCGCTTCCTCATGGAGCTAGGACAGCCTGCCTAGACTGGACCCCACAGCCCCATCCACTTCTGAATAAAAACCACTCCAGAAGCCTTGCACGGTGTTACCTGATGGCTGGTCACAGCTGTGTCTGAGGGGACAGAGCTGTCGGGCAGGACGGCTAAAGAGTGGTTGGAGGGGGGCCTGAGGTGGCCAGGACTGGGGCTGCGTGGGAGCTATAGGAAGGGAGGTGGGCACTGCACCCCGCCCTCCCGTGTTTTTACAGAACCAACAAATTCTATTCTAAAAAATATAAACCATTCTTGAGGCAGGAGATGGCCGGGGAAGCACTACCCAGCCAAGGTGCCTGGGAAAGGGGTCCCTGGGGACAGGGGAACGTGGCTGCTGGCCACTTGACAGCCCAGGCCCCGTCAATGCTGCTCTGCTCCCCAAGCTTGAGTGACTATTTCCCGGAATCCAACCTAATCCTAACAAGAGACCCTCCACAAAACACATGCACCCGGCTGTGGCAGGGAGGCCCTCAGCTCACCAAAGCCCCACCACACCACCACAGACTGCAGTCAGTCAAGAAGTTTCTAGAGAAGCCATCTTTGATAAATTAGAACACAACGGAAATCGTGTATCTAGAATATACATATAAAAAGTCCAGTTTGAAAGCGCTCGTCTGGGGCTGGGCCCCACATGAATCGAGGGAACCCCTCAGCTCCAGCAGGGCCGCCTCAGCCCTCCACCTCCTGGGGCGGCCCCTCCTCCGGCTCGGCCTTCTTGTGCCTCCGCATGTGGCGGTACTTCTCTACATAAGCCTTCACCAGGTTGGCCACCTTCGTGGGGTTGATCTCTCCGCTCTTGCTGTGGCAGATCTGGGAAAAGAAGTATGAAGATACAGACAGCCCTGTCACCAGGACACGGACCCAGGAGTCCTTGTCTGTGCCTCGCCTTTGCTGGGGCCCAAGGGCACAGCATGCTGCAAGCCGTCAGGGCTCTCGTTTCCAGGGACACGGTCCACCCGCTGATGGGTGCGGAGGCACCAGGAGCAAGGGTTTGGTGCAGCCAGTGCTGCAGTCAGTAGAGATACCACAGGAAGACCTCCCGCAGCACGCAGACCCGCACCCAGCTTGGCCATGCTCACCCCTCTGGGCAGCAGGCTGGCCAGCATCCCTGATGATCTCTCTGCCAAGTCTGCAAGCAGACACTCCCCAAGCCCCAACGACACTGTCCCCTCCACCGCCTCGCCCGCCTCCAGGGCTGAGGAAGGCAAAGATCTGGCCTTGGGGTCGGCTGCGGACCCCAAGGTCTAAGCAGACACCTGAAAGCACCGTGGACAGAGACAGGCCAGGCACCACCCGCCAGGCCCCAGCCCCACACCTTCTGCACGGCCTTGCGCAGAATGTCCTTGTACTCCTCCTTGGTGATCTCCCGCTTCTGGTAGAAGGGCTTGATGGCCAGCTTCACCTCCTCCACGGCCCGCTCCTGCATGTGCAGCTTCTTCATGTACTAGGCAGGACCAAGAGTGCGCGTGACACCCAGCACCACGTGAAAGGCGGCCTAGTGCCTTCTGCACAGACAGGAGAGGGTCTGGGCCTGGCCCAGGACTCACCTCCTCATTCTTGGCCTTCTCCCCGGTGGGCTTGGGAGCAGAGGCGTTCTCCTCCACATTGTTGGTTGTGGGGGCCAGGACAGCTGGCTCTGAGGTGATGGTCAGGGCAGTCTGCGCTGGGGCCAAGGCCTGTGCACCCCCACAGCCTGCCAGGGGAAGGCTGCCCTGCAGGAGAAACTGGACCGAGGGCTGGCTGACTAGTGCATAGGGTGGGCCACTCGAGGTCAGAGCAGGGCTGTAAACCTGACAAGAGAAGCCCCACTGAGCCCGGCAAAGAGCCCAGTCCCCACTCGACTGCCCAGGTGCTGGGATCCCCCCCCGGAGATGCTTGAGAGCTTGGCAGAAAAGAGAGAAGTGGCAAGATGGGGGCTTCCGCCCCCAGCCCCGACTGCAGCGCACACAGCACTGGTCTGAGGAGGGCTGGATCCCAGCACGAGGTCCCATGAGTGCTCCAGTCCCCACACCCACCTGAGAAGCATCTATGTCGGGGAACACAGGCTCAGGAAGTGCCTGGCTGGAAGCCAGTGGCTCCGGGCATGGTGGCACCTGGTGGAACACTGCTGGGCCCAGGTCCTCTGCATCCCAGACTACGTCCCTGGGCTTCTGTGGCCTGTGCAGCGGCATCCCTGACACAGAGAGGGAGAGTGAGTGCTCCACGGCCAGACCCAGCCCCCCTTCCAGGGTCAGTGCTGAAGGTGCCAAGGGCTGGGAGACTCAGACTCACGTGGTGCTTGGTCATCTGCAGGGGCACTGCCTCCCTCTTCCCGGAGGTTCCAGGTGACTCTCTTCACTGGAGCCTTCGATCGCAGCAAAGGCATCTGAGGGGTGGAGTCCTCGGGCTTTGCCCCATCATCTGCTGGACGTCCCACTATTCCCCCGATGGGCACCATTCCAACAGCCGGGCTCCCCTCATCCATGTCCTGCCCAAAAGGTGCCCTCTCCGGGGGCGCTTCTGTCAGAGGTGGGGGCCGTAGGTCATCGTCACTGTGCATCAGGGACACCTCCCTCTGGATGACGGCAAGGGCATGGCTGGTGTCTAGGCCTATGCTGCTGGCTTGGTCTTGTGCAGGGCCCGGTGCTGCTGGGGTGGGGCCCAGAGGGGCACGCTCTGGGGAGGAATCGGTGCTCTCAGGGGAGGGCGGGGAACTCATGTCATCCAGCTGGATGAAGACGGTGTCGCTGGAGAAATCCTCGAAGACGTGGCCTGCCTCCACGGAGTCGCCGTAGTCCAGGTCATCGGCTGCACGCTCTGTCAGCACCTCAGCCGTGGGGGGCACCTCTGGGGGGGCCTCAGCTACCCCAGCCACAGGCACCCCTGGCGAGGCCGCCGCCAGCACCTCTGCCTGCACCAGGGCAGGAAGCCTGGCCGTGGGCCCTGCCTCAAGTCCAGGGGTGAGCCCAGGTACCTCGTGCACAGCGGGTGGGGACACTTCCTTGGCATGCTGCTTCCTGTCTGGGGAGGGAGAGCGGGTTCGGGGCAGCCGGTCACGGGAGCGGGGCCGCCGCAGCTCCCGGGACCGGTGCTCTGGGCTCGGTGACCGTGCCCTCCACTTGCTCCTCTCCCGCGAGCGCCGCCGTCCCCGCGGCCGGGACACGCTCTCCTTCCTGTCGGTCCGCTCCCGGCTCCGCTGTCTGCGGTGCTTGTGTCTCCTGGCACGCTCTGTGCTGCTGGGTGGTGAGCTCTCCCGCCCTCGGGACCGGGACGACGAGCGCCGCACCTTCTTCCGCCTGCTCTCGTGGTATTCATGGGAGGAGCTGCCCGGGCTCACAGAGCGGGACCGCCTCCGGGTGCGGCCCCAGGAGCCCCGCTTCCTCTCGCGGCCCTTGGCTTTCTTCCTTTTGGCCCTGTCGCGGCTGCTGGAGCCCTCGCTGGAGGAACGCCGGGCCCGGGCCTTGGGTCGGTGCTTCCTGGCTGGGGGCTCGCTGGCTGGGGGTGAGGCCGACCGTGAGCTCCTCTCCCGAGAGCGGGACCTCGAATGGCTGCGGGACTGTGCCCTTGGCTCCTGGGTGGCGGCCTTTTCTTTCTTGTCTCCCTTCCGGCTGCAGGAGCTGGTGTCGGAGTGGGTGGGCGATGGTGAACGCAGCTCCACCACACGGTGGGTGGTGGTCGGCACAGGAACTGGGCTGGGTGGGCCATCCGGCCCCAGGACCGTCACGCAGGTGACTGTGCGGGCCTGCGAGTCGAAGAAGGCACTGCGCCGGGGCACATCCTCATCCCCACCCTCCCCAGGCAGCCCCGGCCCCTCCAGCTCCAGGTCGGAGGCCTCCCCAGGGCCCTCTCTGTCCCGGAGCCTGAGCCTGCTGGAGGCAGGCCCACGGGCGGACTCAGAGCCTGACCCGAAAGCCCCCTGCACAGTGTAAGAGGTGACACAGCGCACGGCGGGGCAGGCTGAGGCCTTGGGGCTGTGAATGGAGATAGTCCGTGTGATCTCAGAGGGCAGCAGGCCGGATCCCAGCCGCTCGGGACTGCTGCTGGGGGAGCTGGAGTCAGAGCCTGTGGGCTCAAACGGGTCGTAGATCTCACTCTTGAGCTGCTTAGGCTTTTTGAGGGAGAAGAGGGGTGCGGGGTTCTCCTTTCTCTGTACCTTGTTGTCAACTGGCCGGAACGTGTTACAGAACCCAGGGCTGGGCAGCCGGCTGGAGTGGGCTGCGTTCCCGGGAATGTTAATTCGGAAGCTCTCAAAGGCCGACCCAATGCCTTTGCCCCTGCTGGCTATACCAGAAGCTGGGCTGCTGTGGGAACTGGGGGCCGGGGGCTGGGGCCTCCCCGGGGCTGTGCCTGGCCCCTGGGGGCCCTGGCCGCTGGGCTCACCCTCTACCCGCGTGCCACGGCCTGGCTGTGTGGGCCCCTCCCTGCCCGTCAGCCGGCTGATGCAGGAACTGGGGATCTCAACACTCTGGCCCTGGGCGGGGGCCGAATCCGCCGGCCCACTGCTGCCACCACTGTCTCTCTTAATCTTTGGTATTCTGGGCAGCTCTGAAATGTCCCTTCTCCTGGGAGCTGGCTTTAAGGGATGCTCCAGCACTGGACGTCTTGGTGGTGAATGAGAGTCACTGCTGGGGACTTTGGGGGAGGTGGAACCCAGAGGCGAAGCACGTTTGCTGTCTCCGTTAAACTGCGGCTGGCTGCTTCTGTGTGAACCCAGTGTGCTGCTAGCCAAGGTCTGAGCCTGGACGCCCCCAGCCAGCGGGGCTGTGGAGGAGCCCAAGCTCACAGCTGGCCTCGCTGTGGACGCAGGGCCCCAGGAGGCCGGGGCTGGGACTGGGCCAGGTCTGCTTTGGGAGGTGGCGGAGCTCTCGGGCCTGCTCCCCAAGGGGGGTGGTTTGGGCTGCCGGCCACCACTTGTGCAAGCCCCAACCCCCTCAGACATGCTGAGTGAGCTTCGCCGGAAAGCAGCTGGTGCTGAAACGAGAAGGCAAGGGGTGGATACCTGAACACCGGCCTTCCTACCTGCTCCAGCAGTCATGCTGTACGTGCACCAAAAAGTGCCCAAGGCAAGGGGATATCCACCCGCCATAGCTAGAGATGCCCCTGCAGTCCACCCCACCCCCAATACGTGCCAAGACCCACAGAATTTGCCAGAGTGGAGTTCTGAGGGGCTAACAGCATGGCAGCCTGGACATGCCATAGCGACCCAAATCTCAGCTCTGTACTCTGTCCAGGTGGTCACAGAGGCCATATGGGGAGCCGTACACGTGCACGTACGCTCCCGCAAATACAGAGCAGCACCTCAGCACCTCAACCTCCCCCAACTTCAGAGGGCCCCAGCCCTGCAGTGTCTGGGAACCACGCCAGAGGGCAGTGTGCCCAGCCCCACCAGCACAGACGGCCCCAGCACCGAGTCTGGGAGCCACGCTGGACGGTGGGCTGCAGTCCCGGGTCGGGGTCGGAGCCCCTACCTGCCCTCTTGGCGCTGAGGGAGCCATCGCGGTGGATGATGACATCGTCGCCGCTCAGCATCAGGAGGTTCTGGCTGCACAGAATGCTGCCCAGCAGGTCGGGGACGGGGGCGGCCTCCACGGGGGGCTCAGGTGCGGTGGCAGCAGAGACACCACCCCTGAGGACACAAGGGAGGCCTGCAGTTGCCACCAACGCATATGCTGCCAGCGCTCAGGAGAGGAGGAGGGCTGGTCTCCAGGCCGGGTCCCTCCCTGCTGCGGCCTGGGATACCGTAGGTGGGTGGACCCTTGAGCCATTCCTTGTGTCAGTCAGTCGGAAGCCCGGCAAAGGGGTGGTCCCAGTGTGCCCACATGTGCCCAGGCTGTGGCTGACAGCAGAGGCCCCTCCCATACAAGAGGGAGGGCCCTGACCACGTGGCCGAGGGAGAGGCTCGTGGAGAGGCGGGCTCGCCCCAGGCACTGCAGCCACTCCGCCCTCTGCCTCAGCTGTGCCCACTTCCTCATCTCCAGGACTCGGTGTGTGTGAACCAGGAAGGCTGGGGTACCACGGAACATCTGGCAACACCAAGAGAAGTGGCCAGCACACACGAACAGAGCCCAGTGGGCCCCCTGGTGCCCAGAAGCCTCCCACTTGCTCGTACCTGGAAAGCCCCACGGAGACGGGCCTGGCCACAGGCTGGTGTGAGCGCAGCGCTGACTGGGACAGGACTCTCCTCTTGGCACTCAGGGGAGAGGCAGGGTTTGTGGAGAGCTCGTCACTGCTGAGGGGACACGGGCCAAAGGGAAAACAAGTGACCTCATGCCCCCACACGCCAAGGCTCAGTTGCTCCAGAGGCCTCAAGGACACTGGGTATGGATGGACTGAGAGCCACAGCCAGTCGTCAGCATCCAGAATGCAGGACAGGGCTCTGCACCTGTAGCTCTGAACACCCTGACCCCCCTCAACCTCTTGACTGGAGACGTGGCCTGGTTCTACGTCAGGATGACAGCACCCAGGGCCCACGCGCACACTGATTGAGCCGAGGGAGAGTCTGCAGAGCTGGGAAGTGCACCGTGGCCATGCCAAGGAGCTGGGTGGGAAGCTGCGTGGCAAGGCACTCACCTGTCGAAGGGGTCCAGCTCATGAGGGTCCCCAAACAGGGACAGAGGTGCAGCTCCGATGTCTGCCCGCATCAGCCCCAGCGACGGGTCGGTGGGCTTGTACACAGATGGGAAGGAGGCACCGAGAACAGGTTTCCGGAGGCCCAGTGTCCTGGCAATGCGGGCGCGCGCTGTGACCTCGTTTCTGACCTAAGCAACAGGGAGAAGGGGCTGGTAACTGAGAGGAGAACTGGAGAGTTCTGGAATGCCAGTTACAACACTAATTAGCAGCCCCAAATAGTAGGCAAGAACCTTCTCTACTCGTTACAATGTTTAGAAGTTTTACTAAACCCCCAGGAGTGAACAAACAACCCCACACCCACCACAAACCACCGGACTACCTGCCAGCCTGAGCCAGGACCTGCATACCAAGCTAGCTGTCTTCCACAAACACCCACAGTACAGGAACCTGGTTCCACTCAGACCGACTAACAGCTGTCGTTTTAAAACCACTTGAGCAGATGCAGAATACAAGCATCTCGGTTACTGTCATCCCCAAATCACCAGAAATCACAAAGGACCAGAGGCTCCTCTACCCTGGTGCCCACGGCCCCTTCTCAGCAGGGTATCCTCATGTGTAGAAGCACCCTACAAAGAGCCTGTAGGCCTCTCCATGCACCTGGCAGTGATCGGGAAGCAGCCAGAAGCAGCTAATACAGAAACTTCCCCCAGCCAGGAGGATGTGAGCCGCAGGACGGTGCCCAGAGCTTTCTGGCAGAGCACACAGATGGCACCATGGGGGAGCTGGGGGCGGAGTACTGAGGGCAGCTCCAAGGGAAGTGCACCCCGCAGTCACGGGACCGGGCAGCAGCAGGGACAGAGGGACACCTGGAGCCTCGGGGACCGGGCGGCAGCAGGGATGAAGGGACAGAAGGGTAGAACTTTAGCTTCCACTCGTCTGAAGCCCCAGGAAATGGATACTGATCTGAGCCTAAACTCACACCCAGAAGCTGCAGATGCTCCAAGTCCAGCTTTGTACACTGGGTTAGAGCACCATGGAGTACAGCTTGGACTCCAGGTGAGAACAAGGCCAACAACACAGCCGCACATGCGTGGGGAGGGGCACATGGTGACCCGTGGCTGCCAGATGAGTGGAAGGGCCTGCCTCGGGCAAATGTGCCCCAAAGACCCAGTTTTACCCACAGTGGACACTCTGCCTTGGAAGACCTCTGCCATGGGCCCTTCCCTCTAGAGCAGCCCCTCATGGCCTCCACCCAGCTTCCAGATCCAAGCACCCATTAACGTGCCCCAATACCTGACAGCCTGTGGCATGGTCCTCATACCCACCACGCCCCTCCTGACAGGGTCCCCAGCAGCTTCCAACAGGGTTGTACCCAGCCCCCCAACATGGCCAGCTCCAAGGGGCCTGGAGACCCTCTAGCCTCAGTCACATCCACATTGCTGCCGGCTAGTCATTTACCAGCCAGGGCTACGAAACACAGAGGACAGGCCTTCAGCACTCTCCCAGCACTTAGCAACACTGTCACCTTCAGCTTTCTCCCCTTCCTCTTCTTCCCACGACTCTGGCGTCTCTTAGATCTTGCTCCCGAGTGATTAGTTCTCACAGAGGATCTGGATGGGGTCTTCTTTCTACCTAGGACCTTCTTCCGTTTTCCTAAAGAGAACATGGAGAGGCTGGGCTTCACCGTGTGCACCCAGGAGGGGGCTCCAGCACAGGGCTGATGCCTAGGGGGCTCACACCACTGGTGCCTGCAGAGCCCACGCAGGCAGAGACAGGTGTGGGAGAAGAGGGATGGATGGGACTCGTGCGTGCAGGTAGTGGTGCCTGGGGTGACGTGGACTCACACACACATGTACTGGCTTGCACATTCACACATGGATAGGGTGAGTGTCTGAGCCCAACTCAGACACTGTGTTCTGTACACTTTAGTTCGCAGGTTTCACTTTTAGAACCACGACGTATCTTATACAATGATGGCGCAACACTGAATTAGAGAAAACACGCTTGGCAATAAAAAGTGTGACCCTACCTGTCTCCAGAGGGCAGTGTAGCCCCTGAAGAAGACACCCGAGAGCCCTGGCAGCAAAGAGCCTCACTTGACTGTCCCGGACACGAAACAAAACGACCACCACAAACCCCGTGTGTTGGCCAGAGCAGCCACTGAGACACTGCTACATGGGCTGGCAGCGGCTAGGGCACACGCCTCCACCCCAGGCTCCCGGCCGGCATGAGGATCACCACGTGGAGGACGGGGAGGAAAGGGGTATGAACCCAAGATGCATGCTGCCATAAAACATCCGTGACTCAGGTCCCCAGCTCTGATGACTGCCACCGGAGATGTGACCCCAGTCCTTGGAAGGTGGGAGGGTGGGACTCAGGCTTTCCCCCTTTGCCCCCCACTGCACCAGAGTGAGTGAACAGCACTAAGGGTAGGGTCCTGTTCACAGGAATTTTCCAGCTACCGCAAGGGGCAATGGTGGGACCCCAGCTGCACAACCTCGCCTCTGACCCCCAGGCAGGCCACCAGCCAGCACATGCTGCTCGAATGGAGTGTCTCATAGAGACAGGAAGCAAGTCAGAGCCCTCAATGACAGACAACAGCAGAGAGACACCCAGCTTAGACTGTGGGGCAGCCTGCAATACCCCCAGCTGGACTGTGCAAAGACAGGGCCAGGAGCGGACCTGCACACCCAGAGTAGCCGTTGCCGCCTGTTATGGTGCGAATCATGTTTGGCTTTTGCCTCAAATAAACTATTTCTACAACTGCTATTGTGTTTACGACACAATCAGAGATGCCAACATGTGACGTGAAGGAATTACTATCTGCTTCTTGACTCACACCGGTACTGTGGCTGCGTCTTAAAAGACTGCCTCTCGCTTCAGGAATGTGCTCCTAAGCATTTGCAGATGGGGTGATGATGAGGTGGAGGACCTGTGTTACCATGAAATGGGGAAGTGAGGAGGCAGAAGGAAACAAGTGCCCCCAAGCTGCCAGACGATGGGCGGGACACTTGAGTCACGAGGCAATTCTTACACGTGCATGTTAGCTGTGTGTATGAGGTGTAGCCTGTCTATGAAAAGTGTGACAGATTACAAAACCCAGAAAACATTACAAGCAAGATAACACAAGCGAAGCATGGCCAGACAGAGGAACTGGCCCAGCCAGTTGCGTTTCAGGGACAATCTACACTGCTGTCTGTCGTCACAGTGATGCTTCAAGACAATCTGGGTGAAAGGAACACATAAGTGATTACTGGTCAGAGCTGAGAACGTGTTTTTGGACATGAAAGAAAGGAAATGAGAATGAAGATACAAAGTTAAGTAAAACCCTGTAATCCTGAACTTGAATTTGAAGTATCAGTATCATCCTGCAGAGTATTCTTAAAAAACAACAAAAAAGGACCAACAGACTGTCCCCTGTGGCTGCTGAAAGCAGAGAGTGGGGGTGAAGAGCACGCCCGTGCTCAGAGCGACGCCAACGTGGGGACCCGCATCCTGAGCCCCGGGTGGGACGTTCTGAGGCAGGGCACCTCAGGGGTGTTCCTGCCTGAGTTTAAGAGAGCAAACCCAAGGGGAGGGGCATCCTACAACACCAAGTCCTGTCGAATGCAAACATGGGCTGCAGGAGATGTCCTGGAATAAAAGACGCTAAAGCGACCTGAGCCGAGACACAACACGTGGTTATCCTGATGAGAACCCCAGACTGAAGGGTGAAACAGAACATGGGCCGTGGCTTTGTCAAGTGTTTTATCCAAATTAAACCCCCTGACTGGCCACACGGCAATAACCTGAGAAGACCATCCACGGTCTCAGGAAACACGTACTGAGGTGAGGATTAAGAGCACGACACAGTCAAGGAGAAAGGCCTCCAGGACAAGGACCGGCTACTTCAGTCAACCAACTGCTAGGGAAAGAGGACAAAGGCCCCAAGGCTGGGGTGTTGCCAACCCCTCAGGACACTCCATGGGCTTCCGGGGCACTTCCCAGGGAAGAAACATTTTCAGCCAATCTGGGAAATCTGAGCACTGCTCATTTAATTTTATGAAGTAATCCTGAACACGTGTGGCAGTGTCTGCAGGACTCGGGTCAATGGAATGTGCTTCCGCCCAGGCCACCACGGGCAGCGCACAGGGCCCCCCAAGCTCATGACAATGCCAATGACAGACGAGACCCACTGTCGGCCTCTGGAGACCAGCAGTCAGTCTGCAAACTGAGGAACAAACAGGAGAGTCTACATCGCTTTCTCATAAGTGCCGCAGCTAGCAAGGAAGGGGCAGTGGGTACGAGTGAACTAAAGGCTGCAGGCCCAGAAAAGGGTTAGAGAACACAGACAGCAGGAAGACCCCGCGGAGAAAGTGGAAGGACTCACTCAGGACGGGACGGCACCAAGACCCAAGGAGCAGGTGGAAGGATGTGCTTGGGATGGGACGGCATGAAGACCCAGGAAGCAGGTAGAAGGACATGCTCGGGACAGGACAGTATGCCACAATGTCACTGTTCTTGTCAACATTCAAAACTTCTGCCACTTCTAAAGACTCCGTCGAGAAGGTGGAAGGAATCGCTCAGGGTGGGACAGCACGCCAGCATGTCGCCAACCTACTCCAGGGCCAGCACCTGGGACACAGAGCTCAGCACTCAGGTAAAAGGCGACCCCATGAAACCTGGGCAGAGGTTTGCACACCTAGCTTACGTGGGAGCACAAGTGGCAGCTAACACACACAACGCACGAGGTGACTGGTCATTTGAGAATGACTACCACAGTGCAAGTGTGCCTTCTGAGTGCCATTTTGCCATGTGGCTTTGGGCTGAGTTCATTAAAATGCACCATCAAGGCGGGTGTCCATGATCAGGTATAGGGTTGGCAGACGATGCTTCTACAAGTGTATTGTACGTTCTGTAAGAATTTCCAGGTATATGCATAATGTGGATGAACTTGGAGGACATTATGCTGAGTGAAATAAGTCAGTCACAAAAGGACAAATATTGTATTAGTCCGTTATTGTAAAAGTTAAGG